AACCCGTTCCAAAGAGATTAGACTCTTTGACAAAGGTGCAAGCCGAACGAAACGGACCGGAGATTTCTTGAAAAACGGGGTGTCGCTCGAAAGGGACTAGAGATGTTGAGGAAAGGGAGCAGAGAATTTGGAGAAGAGGCGCACGCCTTTCCAAAGGGACCAAGACAAGACACTAGACGTTTGAGAACAAGGAAGAAACTATTGGAAGAAACGATACTTTCTGAGACTCTGCGACCTAGTAGTCATCCGCTCGATGGAGACTGACTAGAGATGTTACCAGGGAAGAAATCTCGCTCGAAAGAGACTTTCAGAAAAAGGCAGAAACAGCACCGAAACAGACCCCAGACAATCTGAGAAAGAGGATCGAACCATTCAAAAGGCAATTTCGAAAAGAGCAGATCACCGCTCGAAACAGACTGAACAACAAGAGGAGCAAGCTGCTGAACAGATTTTCGAAGAAGTACAATCTATCCGAAAGGGAGTAGTGGACTTGCGAGAGCAGCATGCCGCTCGTGCGAAGAAGCGCGGAGAATGCAAGCAAACCGCTCGAATGAGAGTAGTGACTTGAGAATCTGACAAAAACTAGCCCGCTCCAAAGAGTGCATGAGAAGTTGACAACTCGAAACAGACTGCGGACTTTGACAACGAAGATGATAAAGAAGAGCAAACTGGTCGAAAGGCACTGAACTCTTAACCAGGAGCAAACATTTGGGAGAAAGAAGCAGCAAGCCGCTCGAAATACACTAGGGAATGCGAGAAGAAGACACTTTGAGAACGAGGAGCGCGCCAATCGAACGGCACTACAAAAACTGAGAAACATGTGCAAATTGCTCTGAGAAAGAGGAGCAAGTCCACCGAAGGGTCAAAACGGGACTAGACAATCTGAAAAAACAGCAAAAACGCTGGAACCAGATTGGAGAATCTGACACAGAGGAGCATTTCACGCAAAGAGCAGACCAGTCGAAAGGCAGTACACCATTTTGGAAACACACGTTGAGAACGAGGAGCAGACCAGTTGATGGGGAGTACACAAATTGGAGAACTAGGAGCAAACCGCCCGAAACCAGCTGCAAAGGAGCAAACCCGTCGAAAACGATAAGACAATTGAAGAAACAGTAGCAAAGGACCCGGTATTTGGAGAGAAGCAGGAGCAAATTGCTCCAACGAGGAGAAAATGAAGTGCAAAAACCAACGACAACGACAAAGAAACACGACGAAGCACCACAGCCAGTCGAAGAGGACTAGACGTTTTAAAAGCAAGAGCAAGCCGCTCCAAAGAGACAGGCTAATCTGCCAACGAGGAGAAAAGCTGGAGAATGAGGAGCAAACCATGAGGAAAGTGTGAGAAGGAGGAGCAAGCCGCTTGTATAAGGAACTGGACGGAAACCAGGGGAAAGGGACTAAGAGGTTTGAGAGGCCAAGCAAACCATTCGAAAGAGACGAACTTGACAAGGAGGAGAGCTTGGGAGCGCGTGACCCAAATACAAACGAAACAGAAAAGATACGTCCACAAAGAGCAGAAACTGCGAATGAGGAGCAAAAACCAAACCGCTGCAGAGAGACTGGAGAATGTCACGAGGGGGAGACTTTGACAAAGAGACAAGGAGGATTTCACTAGACAGGAAAACGTGAGAGAGAGAGAGAGAGATGCAAACCGGTCTAGAGGCATCATAACGGTTTGACAAGAAACAGGCCAAACGGTTCGACAGACACAAGAATCTCACAAGAAACTTCAACAAAGAGCGTCATTTCAGAAACAAGGACCAGCGATTTTGCCATGACGGAGACTTTAAGAACGACGTCGAGGGGGACTAATGCCTGCCTTTGAGATCGGGAGGAAGCTGCTCGCAAGAGGCTAGAGCGTTTGCCAGTGAGCCCGTCGAATCGGAACAGACAAAATGGAGAACAGGAGGAAACCGCTCGAAAGATACTGGACAACTTGAGACAATGAAAACCAGCCGAAAGGGATTAGACATTGAGAACAAGGAGCAAACCGCTCGAAAGAGGCTTGAAAGAAAACTGCGAACAGGAGGCAGACAGTGTCCGAACACGTGAGAAACAGGAGCATGACCGCCCGAGAAGAGACTGGAGAACTTGATAGAGGAAATTCAAAGACGAGCAAGCCGATGGCAAACTATGTAGTTGAAGGGACTAGGAAGTTTGAGAAGAAGGAGCAACACGCTCGAGCCTAAAGAATTTAACAAAGGAGAGGAAAAACGTGAGAAAGAGGGGCAAACTAGTCGAAGGGTGCTTGAACATTCGAGAAACAGGAACAAACCATTCGAAAGAGACTGGAACACTTGATGCGACGAGTGCTTAAGACAAGGGCTCAAACAGGACCAAACTGCTCGAAAGCGCTAAAGAGCGAACCAGCCGAAGGGACTAGAAAATGCAAAAACAGGAACAGACGGCTGGAACACGACTAGGGCGTTTGACTGAGAAAGAGGAACACCAGCCGAAATGTGTTTGAAACTGCGAGAAACACGGGAAAGCTGCTCGAAACAGTGTCAAGATCCAGCTGCCAACCAGTACTGCAAAGATAGAACATCAAGAGCGAAGTTTTGACCAACAGGATTTGAGAAAGAGTTTCAACTTGAATTTTATCGGGTTTGAGAGTTCCAGCCAATTTGCTCCTCGTGTTCAAAACGCTCCTCGTTGTCAAATTCTTGAACCTCTGTCTGTTGCGCGATTTGCTCGACTGATTTGCTCCACTTTCTCAAACTCTCCTTCCAACGGTTTGCTCCTGTCCCTTGGATGTCAAGTCCCCTTCAACTGGTTTGCCACTCGTTCGACTCGTTCGAAAAGTCTCCTCCTCTGAGTCAAGTTCCCTAGTCTCTTTCGACTGCTTTGCTTGTACCTTTACAGCATTTGAGAAGCAGGAGTACAACACTAGAAAAATTGACAAGCACCGCACCAGCTCGAAAGAGACCACAGAATTTCATGAACCACAGCAGTATGAGAAATTGGAGATACGAGTTTCAAAAACAAGGGCGAATGATGTTGCCTCGGAGCAGCACTGCGAAAAAAAGAGAAGAGCGTTTGAGAAGCAGCCGGAAACTGCCCGCAAGAAACTAGAGAATTTGGCAATGAGACGATTTTGAAGAAGCGGGCAGACCCCTCGAATGGGACTAGGCAATTTAAGAAACAGGGGCAAACGCTCGAAAGAGACTGGGCAACTTGACAGTCGAAAGGGACAAATCTGAGGAACATACCAAGCTGCTCGAAAGGGACTGACTCACGGAGGAGTTTGACAAACATGAGGAACAAACCAGCTGCAAAGGACTAGAACGTTTCCAGGAGCAAACCGCTCCAAACAGACTACAGTGTAGCATTTGACAAAAAGACAAATTTGAGAAAGAGGAGCAAACCAGTCGAAAAAAAACAGGAGTCGGAAAAGACTGGAACACGTGATGGAAGAAACTGAGAACTGGGAGCAACCAGCTAGAGACATAAATCGACACAAAAGAATCTCAAAAAGAGTTGCAAACTAGTACTGGAAGATTTGAGAAGCAGGAGCAGAGCGCTCGAAAGAGACTCGAGAAGTTAGAACAAACGACAATTTGAGAACCAGGAGCAAGACAAGCCAAAAAGGTTGAGAAACAGAAGCAAACGACAAGAAACAGGGTCGAGTCCAGGAGCCAACCGGTCGAAAGCGCTTAGAAAAACATCAAGTCAAGAGCGATGCGCTCGAAACAGACCAGCCCTTTCAGTCTATTTGCTGCGACTGGTTTGGCTCCTCTTTCTCAAGGGTTTCTAGTCTCTGTCGAGCGGTTTCCTTTTCCTTCTTCAATTTCTAGTCCGTTCTTTCATCTGGCTTGCAGCTCGTTCTTCACGCCTTCTCTTTTTTAAAGTCTCTACTCTCTTTCGAAGGGTTTGCAGTTTTCAGACTGTGCGCACGCACCGGCTGCTCTTTGGCGCTGCTGCGCTGGCGCATGCGCTCCTGGCCTCTGCCCCTCCCATTGGGGGTCGCGCGCTCCGCGCTTCAAACCTTGGCGCCGTGCGCCGGCCCCCCACGGGGCCACAGAGTCAGACTGGTGTCCATACCTCCTTTTTTAAGGAGGGTTTTTTTGTCCTTGCGTACTCTTGAGCTTGGTGCCTCGAAAAGCCAAAGGTCACCCAAGCTCGAAACTTGAGAGCAGGTTTTGAGGACAGCTATGTTCGACGCCGAAGAAAACATCGATGCAACAAAGAACTCATCAGAGTGTGAAGCGCGGAAGGCTTGCGCTCTCTTTCATCGTTCTGCAAGCTGCTACACACTGATCGAAAATGCTGAAGGTCGAAACCCTGAAGATCAGCAGAACAAGGTGGGGGGGAGGGCGGGGGATACTCCCTCGCAGGAGCAGACCAAAAGTCACCTGAACTCGAAGTCTATTTTGACCCAAGAACGGATGTGCCAACTGTGTAGTGAGGCCTTCTGCGAGGCTGGCTTGCTTTGGCTCAGGGCCACGATCGACGACCTCCGAGCAAAAGAAGGGGGGGCAGGCGTCTCGCTGAGTGCGCCGCAAGAAAGCGGCCTTCGGAGCTGCAGGAACCCAAGCTTTCCTGCAACAGCAACACAGTCTCTCTCGGAGCGCGCTGTGGCAAACCGAGCCTTGCAGACTTTGCATCTGATCTTGGGAGCAGCGAGGAAAGGCTGGGACTGAGAACCGAAGGACGAGTCCGCGGCCCTCCCTTTGCCTTTGCCTGCTCCTGTTTCAAGCTGCTCAACATGTCTCTGCCTTCCGGTGACCTACCTGTAGGGGTGGCCTTGCCTTCGGCGGGGGCTGCCTTGGCGCTTCTCCTGCAGTGGCTTAAGAGGCTGCTCTTCCCTCCTCCCGGTTCCTGGAGGCTGGGACCGGAAGCCGCACCGCCCGCACCAGACCTCCGCAGGGGCAGCCGGTGCGCAGCCGGTTTTGAAGTAAAATCCCCCTTCTTCCCTTCTTCGCTCTCATGTTTTCACTGGTGGGGAACCGATGATGGTGGCAGTGTCTCTATGTACAAAATGTGTGTTACAGCCAGGTTCAAACGAACTGAACTTCCTTGTGGTTCTCTTCACCGTTTCGGTAATGATATGGAGCAGGTGCACCGTTGGCCACGTCTCCGGCACAGCGGAAGCCAAGTGTCCCAGCACGCTCGTAGCTCTCACCTGATTCATGCTCTCGTGCGTCGACCCCAGCATTCTCTGCAGACTTGGTGGCTGCAGCCCAGATGCTCATGAGGAAGTACTTCGAGTGCTTGTTTAACCTCGGAAAGGTCGGCACACAGTATGCAGCTCCACACGTGTGGAAATGCCTATTGCGATGCCAGAATTTTCCGGGAAGTCCACTCGCGAGCAGGAGGGAAATACCTGAGTACTTCACAACTATTTCACACCCTCAAAGGCAAAGCAGACATTGTCGAACCGGATGCCACGTTGCCAGTTCACAGACTGATGAAGGGAGGGGAAGGCTTCCGAGACTTGCGGGTTGTAACGGCTGGACCCCCTCAGCAGGACGGCCCTTGTGTGCTCATCCCGGAAGGAGTCCGTGTATTGCCACACGTTTCCAATCAAGTCGTGCACACCGAAGACGGACGTGCCCTTCTCGTGTTTCCGAATGCTTTCGGGATCGTGACCTGCAGTCGTGAGGCACATCTGTACTGAGTGCGCGCCAACGTGAGTCGCCCGGCCGGGAGGGGGGACGGCAGAAGGATCCCAGTGATCACCCCAAGGATATTTTCTTCCATCCGGCCCCTGCGCGGCGAGTTGCCACTCATAACCTCTGGAAGGTGCGCAAAGCTTGCTGTGGTTTGCGGGCTTTTGGGACGCAGCTGGCCAAGGAGCTGTGAGGCAACCTCTTTCCGTAGAAGCGACAGTACCTGCAGCAGGTGTTTGGGAAGGTTTTTGCGGCTGCAGAGTATACGATGGCTGTTCAGCTCTTCAGCTCCTTATCAGATGCGAGCCGAAGTTCTGCCCTTGCGCACAACTTCCCTTCGCTTCTACCAGAAGCCGTCTAGGAGGTGCTTTTCAGAGAAACGTTGCCCGGCATCTTGAAAGTCATCTCCTCCTTGGAAGCCCGGTCTCTCCCCCGCGCCTCTCTGCTTCTTCGAAGCCAATGTTCACAACCGGTTTCTGCTCATCGCCTGCACTCTCTGACTCAGTCACGAGCAGCAAAACATGTGCGTGAGCGCAAGTGTGCAAGACAGGACTTGCTCATGCAGACAGCTGAATCACATATGATCTACACCTCTAGCGCCAGTCTTGGTGTCACATCTAGCGTGTGCCCTTGGTGCCTGGCTTCGGCCTGCCAGTCTGCCAGTGCTTCAAGAAATTGAAGTTGTCAACAGGACTATATCCTCAATGTCGCATTCGCTCCGCCACTCCGCTCAAGAGGGCTCTCCTGTGAAAGAAAAAGAAACCTCGTGCCGGCACGGCTTATGTCAAGGATCCACTGGCATTTAAATACCGGAGATAGTCAGCGTTTGTGACCTGGCGGGGGTGAGACAGCAGCCAGCAGGCTGAGAGCAGGCTGAGGCATGCTGCGAATCAGCCGAGCTGCCAAATCGCGATCAAGGAGAACAGGGCCGAGATCAAGAGCCTTTCTGTGATTCCGTCCTGGTCGGTCTTCCCATGGGAATTGCACGTCGACTCCTGAGGCCACTTCTTTCAAAGCCCATGCAAAAGCCTTCCAAGCACACACTGAGGGAGAGGGAGAGGGATGGGTCTCTTCGCTGGGAGTCCGAAGTACTCCAACTGCACGAGGCCGCACTGGCAGCTGGGAGCTCCATGCTCCACGCAGCCGTCCCGGCAGCCTCGGAGAAGAGACGAGGCGAGGTCCCTACGCCCCCTGCCTCGCTCTCTTCTCCTGCCTCCCTCTTCTCTCTTCTCTTCTCATTCTCTCTTGCAGAGAGGGGGGCAGATCTCGTTGTCGTCCTCGGCCGGGTCGCAGCCGCCCTCGAACTCCGTGCCGCTGCTCGAAAAGTTGAACTCCATGCGGGGGAGCCTCGGCGGAGCTCTCAGAGAAAGCTCTGGCAGAGAGAGCAGCTTGGCGTGGGAAGGGGGTCGAGCCTTCATTTTCCCAGCGCTTTGGACCTGGTCTGCATCTGAGGCTGAGGGCAACAAGCAAGCCCCCTCCCCCCCGCCCCCAAGCTGAGACATCCCCCCAGTGAGTTCTGACTTGACGGGATCCCCTCAAGAGATCTCCGTGTTCCAGCAGCTGGCAGTCTTTGGCCGGCTAGAGATCATCGGCTGGCGGATGTGATGACAGTCATCCTCCCTCTGCGTCGCAGCTGGCATTTTCGTGTACACGATCCTCATGCGTGATTGGCTGCTGTAGATGACTGCTCGGACATGGTGCATGCTTCAGGCCATGCCCGTTGCGTGCAAACAAGGCTCTGCCAAAGCTTCGTTCTGCGTGCTTCGAAAGAGGCGGCACAACAGTCGAGGTAGTACTCCTGGCGCTAGGGTCGGTTTCCACCAAACTCCGCTGGAGGCTCCGACGAAGATTTGCAGACAAGAGTCCCACATCCGGCGAAAGCGAACCTCGAACTCTTCGAGCCCCTTCCAATTGTCCAGGCGATGCTTCCACTCTCGCAGAGTCTTGGCATAGCTGACTCCGAAGCTTTGCCAATCTTCCATGTGCCATCGATCATTAAACTCTTGTGTAAAGTGTGACCTCAGTGAACAAAACCGAGAATTCTAACGCTGTCTCGAAGTCGCTATCCGCATTGAGGCCCGGGCATGGTGGGAAGCTCAGCTCCAGGGAAGATGTACTTGTTCATCCAGCCACCATGGTTCCACTCCCCGCGCCGGGCAAAGCCGATGCTGTGGATCACCATGATGCCGTTGTCCTTAAGCAGCTCATAGCACTTGTCGAAGTACGTCTGGTAGCAGTTGCGACCGATGTGCTCAAAAATTCCAACGGAGTATATCCTGTCGAACTGACCAGTCATACTCCTGTAATCCTGCAGACGAATATCGACAGCAGGATTCCGGAAGTGCTCCTTTGCGTATGCATACTGATCTTCTGAAAGCGTCACTCCGGTGACGTGCACACCATACTCTGTGCTTATAAGGTCGGCCAAAGCTCCGAAGCCACAGCCGAGCTCCAACACCTTCATGCCCGGCTTCAGATCCAGCTTCTCGGCGACCAGCCTCATCTTCGCCAGCTGCGCTTCTGTCAAACTCATGCCAGGCTTGTGGTAGTACGCGCCCGAGTACCTGAACAGCGACCCAACGTGCTCGCTACTGGCGGCTACTGAATCAGGATTCGCAGATGCCTCCCTGCCAAGCGACTGCATCGTTGGCCCCAGCATCTGCTCATACAGTCTCAGCGAGATATCATAGTGCTTGGCAATGTTTTCCTTGGCACCGGTGGGCGAGTTCCCAGGGAAGAGCAGCCAAGACAGTGTGCCAACCACTGCACTGGCCAACAAGGGGAGACCAGCCACACCCAAATCTTTCTTCACAGGTTCGAGCTTGATCATCTCCCTGACGAAGGCTTCGACATCGTTGGATTCCCAAAGCCCATCCATGTAGCTCTCTCCTAGACCCAAGTCGCCCTGCACCAGGACACGTCGGTAGACATCGGGATCCTTAACGTACCAATACACTCCATCTTTATCCGCTGGGGGCATGTTTGCCACGCCATCCGGAGCATCTTTCACGATGATGTTCGTGTACTTCTGAATTAGGTCCTTCAAGGCTGCTCCGTCATTCGCCTGTCGCGCGGCCTCGACCCCCAAGAATAGCGCAGAGGCAAAGACCGGAAAGAGCAGCTGTGGGCCTGGCTCGAGCTCTGCTTTTGCATATGTGGTCTTATAGGCTTAGCTCTTTTCCAACTATAAACTCTTACCCGGCCTGTCACAAGCGAAGGCCGCGCGGTGCGGGTGCTGCGGGGGGCTGCCGTGGCTCGAGCAAGGGGGCTTCTGGTGAGCGCTGAGGCTGAAGGCCGTGAGTGCCCAGGCGCCCCAAAGGCCCCAAAGGCTCGACTCGCTGCGCGGCTGCCAAGAACGGCCGCCAGGAGGCAAAGGTAGCGTCGCCGCCGCCAAAGATTGCTCGCACTCGCACTCGCCATGGGCGCAGGGGAAGGGAAGGGGAACGGAAGCACGGGAGGGGAGCGGAGGGGAGGGAGTGCTTGGCCTACCTACTTTCACCGGCACAGCTCACTTGACCGTCAGCATGCGCTCGCATCCCCCCGGGGAACAACTAACCTCCTCGAGCTGAGCAAAAAGAGCGGAGTAACAGAGTGTGATTACTATACTGGAGTCGCAAGTCGCCTCTCGGAAATGCAATCGGCCAAGCAGCAAGACCATCTCTGGCGGTGGGCTCGAGGAATCAAAGATCTTGGAAGACGGCCTGAGCTCGTGAGGCGGACTCCGTCCCCCCCCCCCCCCACCCAAGGGAATTGCATGCAAAGATCGAGCTGCCTGGGGTCCATCTTCTGTGGCAGAACGTGCCAAAGGTCAGAAAACTCTGCCTCGGCGACGAAGAGCGTCCAGTGTGCCAGCTGGTGGAAGCATCTCAACCCCACATGTCCTATAGTTGACGGAAACCCCCGGCCCCCCGCTCCAACAGCACTGGACGGACGGGAAAGGCGCAGTCGCCGAGCCGCGAGGCGGGTGCTGGAGAGCTTCCTCATCCTCTCAAGGAGCGCCCGCGGCGGCCTCGAGCAGAGACAGCGAGCCCCCTCCTCTGCCGGACGCAGCAGCGCCGCCGAGCCGCTCTTGCGTTGCGAGAAGTGCCGAGATCCCGGAAGCTTCGATGCCCAGCTCCACCACACCTTGAAGCCATCTCGAACACACTGAAAACCTCGCCACCAAAGGTGGCCCTCCTTTGCAAGTCAAGCTGCCCTCCGTCTCAGGGCTCACCTCCCCATGGAACCCGTGACGGAGTCAATTCGCACGCCGCGTTTCTTTGCCAAGCCTTCTTTCCGTGGTAGAGGTCGAAAATCTCAAAGCCTTCGGCCAGGTAGGGCTCGGGTATTCGCACCTCAGCTCTGTTTTGAATCCACCGAGATCAAGTCTCAGAGACTTGCTCCCAGCGCTGAGCCCTTCACTTTGATCTCAGCGTCTTCTTTTCCTTTGTTCACCAGGAACCACAAGGCCTCCTTCGCCTTCTCAAAGCGCGAGGCAAAGATGCCCTTGGAGGCATCTGTCGCCTCGACACGGAGAACGGTGCAACATGTGCCGTTCATTAAGGACGCACGTTGCGGATGGCCTCAGGTGCGTGAGGGACCCATTCATCAAAGTCATGGCTCAGGTTCCTCACAAAGAAGCGAAGTCGTTTTGCCAACATGATTCCCCTTTTTGGAGTTCAGGGCGAGGTGCCGTTGGCCCGCCCATCTAAGGAGGGTGGCACTTCGACGGAGGAGCTCAGCGTCTCTGTCAGTCAGCTGGTTGTAGAGTCCCCAGATGTTTTCCTTGGCGCGACGCATGCGGTCCCCCCCCGTCAGTGATTTCGAGTCGATGCGGCGAACCTGGGGATTTACACTAAGCCATGGTGACAGCGATTGATGGAGAACCCACAATACCTGCTCTAATGATACTAATCGGCTCTGCAGGCTAGAAAGGTGGAAGTACGAAGCCTTCTCACCCATAATTGCCCCTCATGTTCGACGACCTCACGGACCATGTAAATAGCGAAAGCAACACGACAGTATTTCAGCCAACACACCCATGACTCGTAGCCATCTCCATTGAAGAAGGCCAGCTGTATGGCGGCCGCGCGGCTCTTGGACCAACGATCACAGACATGGGTCAAATGTCTGCCGCGGGGATCGAGCCACTTCATCTTGTCGACACCTGAGCTTTAATGCACAGCAGCCACCACAGCAACCACATTCGCGGCCGGATGGATCCAAGCAGCCAGGCTCGTAGTCGTACTTCATAGTCATGCGGTCCGCTCGCTTCTGGCCAAAGTATCCCCATCCGAGCGGTGTCCATCCTGAGGCTAACGGAGGTAAGCGGGTAAGCAGCGGCGAAGAGAAGCGGCCTACAGTAGCGGCTCAGCCTGCGCTGGAAAAGTCGTCATCGCAGGGGACGCCGCCCCCTTCAGGCTCTAGTGCGAAGGTGAAGTTACGATTTGCACCGGCTTCCCAAAACTCAAGAGGGATCGTTGTCATGGTGTCCCCGTTGAAGCCATCGCCTCGAGCAGCCGAAGGCTTTGGCCGTGAAAGCACACAGGCGGACGTGGAGGAGTGAGTGGGGAGGAGTCTCAGAAAACGTCTACTACGTCTCTTCACGCACTAGCCGCCGCGGCGCGCCTCCGGTGGCTTTTAGGAGAGTGGCCAGGACATCCCAGTGCCGGCCCTCGTCCCGCGTCGCCTGATCCCAGGGGTTGTAGGCCCAGAGAACCTTCACCTTCCGCTTGTGGAAGGAGGCCGTTAGGTTCGTCAAGGCCTTCAGTCCACCGGGCACCGCTCGAAAGTAGTCGAACTGGTTCCGATCATCGATCCCGATGTTCGTGTAGGTGGGCCAAATGAGCACCGAGTCGATGCCACCGTAACGATGCTCCAAATCATCCAAGTACCGTTCCGGCGTCCAGGACCCATCGAAGAGAAAACGATCGTACAAGTGGATTTGCGGTTGGACGTAAGAGGTTCGAGTCCAGGTTAAGGTAGGATCTTTGTAGGCATCTGCCTGATATCTCTTTGAATGTCCTTCGCGCCAGGATTTCAGCTCCGCCAGCCACTCGCTGTGGCTCTGCTTAGGCGTGGCGAAGGTTTCTGAATCCCAGCAGCCTCGGCCCAAACTTCTCCCCAAAAAGAGCAGAAGAAGCCCCAGAGACGCCCTGGCCATGGCGTCACGTCAGACGCTATTCGCTGGAGAGCTTAGCGCGCTACGCACCTGTCGCCTACCTGGGGGCCTCAGGTCGACGTCTCCCTGCTTATCTCAGAGCTCTCTCTCTCTCTCTCTCTACCGGGACAGGAGAAGCAGGGCACGCCCCACTTCCCCGCGCGCGCGCACGCGCACCCGCAGGTCCAGGCGGGGTTTTGGAATTCCCCCCAGGTCAGAGCTCTCTCTATCTCTCTTTCTCTCTCGTCGCACAATGTGGAGGGGCAACGTGTCCTCTCTTAGCCTTGGACGCGCTCTGCGCACACCCCGCACTCCGTGTTGCATGCGCTTCGGAAGGACAATTCTGACTCAAGCCGCGTTTGAAAAGCTGCGCAAAGAATGACAGCCCGTGTTGCAAGCATCATTGGGGACAACAACCTGAGCGGCTGTGTGCGGGCCGACCTGGAAGAAGGACTGAAACTCTGTCTGACCTTGCCGACGTTCCCCAGCTGGGCGAAACTCCATAACGAGAACAGAGGTCACGGTGGCATTCGCTGAGCTGGGCTACGGGGCATCACGGAACTTCGTGAAACTGCACTCGAGGAAACTACGGGAGAAGCTGTCCTGCTAGAATCTGCTACGAGTAGAATAACTCCGATTTGGACGCGGTCTGCGTCCTGCGTGCAATGTACAAGACGGTTGCCCTAAAATCCAAGACAGGCTTGGAACCGCCACTCGGCTGTGCTGAGTTTTCGGCTTGGCTTTGGCCTGCAACCCTGGTGTTGGTACCTGCATTGCTTGAGCATCGCTATGGCAACAGACGGCCGTGTTGTAAGCCTGGCGATGCTCGCAGCGATGCCAGCCCTGCAGCCAAGGAGTCAAGCCGTCGCCCGTTCTGTTCCATCGATTCCCATTCCGAGGCCAGCGCGAGCATCGATTTGCTCCAGCTCCTTCTGCAGAAGCGCCTCCAACAACAAGACATAGCAAAGAAACAGAAGCTCGGTGCTTCCAGGTCTGGCCGATGGTGGCCCAGCACGGGTGCAAGGCTGATGCAAGATCTGCTTCCTGTACCACATGCAGTGAGATCGAGACCAATGGGCTGGCCTCGGCATCGTCGCGTACTTGGCCGACCGAGGCTTGTGCCATGGAGCAAGGATGAGCAGATTGCTTCTGGCTCTTTCTTACGGGCTGCTTCCGGGACGACGTGTGGATGGGGCCTTTCGCGCTGGGGTCTCTGATCAGTCGCGTAGACGGCTACAGACACTCTTTCCATGTCTGGCATCTGGTGCAAAGTTCGTTGCCGACGAAAGGATCTTTCTGCCAGCCTTTTATTTGCATGCACTATGCCCGCATCTCACCTCTGAGCTGCTGCACTTCAGCACGAAGTGAATCCAAATCCTGGCGACTGCCGTGCAGTGGAATTCAAACGCCGAGCACAGTCACAAGGCACTCGATCACGGGGCCTTCCTCAGCTCTGTGTGTAGGCGGAAATTTTGTTCCATGACGGCGCATTGTGCCTGCAGGCAAAGAACAAACACAGGCACCGAGACACAGACAAAGCCCATCCCGGAAGCTTCAGTCAAGGGTGGGGAGGGGGTGCAGGTAGAACGTCTAGATGTAACTTTTTTTCCTCTTAAATTGAATGCAAATTTTCTGCTTTTTCAACAAAACATCTTAGTTGTAACTTCTTTTCGTCTTAAAAAACAACGAATCCTTGCAGAGGGTAGCAAAACACGCATCTTAGTTTTGGCCTTTTTTGGCTTTATTTCGGAGCCTGCGGGGTTTCCTCCTCAGGGGTTTTCGTCTTTCGCACAAGGTTCGTGCTTCCTAGAGGTTCATGCTGGGGCCGTCTTCGGCCAAAGGTTCCTGCGGGGTTTACTCTTTGGACTTTTTCGTCTTTCGTACAAGCTTCTTGCTGGGTTTACTCCCTCGGGGTTTTCGTCTTCGGCCAAAGGTTCTTGCTGGGTTTGCTCCTAAGGGTTTTTGTCTTTGGTCTAAGGTTCGTGCTGGGTTTACTCATGACCGTTCTCGTCTTCGGCCAAAGGTTCCTGCGGGGTGTAGTCCTTGCAGTAGGGTTTTCGTTTTCGGCCAAGGGTTCCTGCTGAGTTTACTCCTTAGGGCTTTCGTCCAAAGGTTTCTGCAGGGTAAGGTTTAGGGTTTAGGGTCGTGGGGTGTGGATCTAAGAGTTTAAGGGGTTGCATTGAGATTTAGTGCAGCGGGCCATCATAAATAGTATATTAGGATATATAAGCTATATATGATATGAAAACAACATATACGAAATTACATCAGAGCTGCTACTTCTAGCGACCACGGCACACGGCCCAGCCGCAGTCGAGAGAGAGAGAGAGAGAG